TGTGTGTGTGTGTGTGTGTGTGTGTGTGTGTGTGTGTGTGTGTGTGTGTGTGTGTGTGTGTGTGTCTTACACACACACACGTACAGAGATGAGCTTCTCGAAGGGCAGCAAAACCTGCACAAGGGTGACARGGCAAGCACTTATAGTCAGAATCTGGTACCTTGCCTGGTTTATTGGGTCGCATAAGACGGCGCAGAATAATCATATATTAATTGAACTGCCAAATACTCAGGATTGACTGCGGCCATGCATGCGGCAAGAACATAAAGTAAGGGCACTGWTTGACAAAGCAGAGCCACTGCCAGACAGAAGATATCATTGAASCTGCTTTTTCTTTAAACCACCAGGACCTGGCTCATACACCGGCCGTGGGGCGTTGTCGTTAACRCCCCGCAACTTTCGCGGCCTCTGGGCTGATGAGAAATCGCATCAACGCCCCAGAGTGCGCCACCGGCCTCCAAGAGTCTTCGCGGGGAGGGCCCCATGGCCCATGTATTGGCCAAGTACTGGTCGTTTAAAAGCAAAACTCTTTAGCAGTTCTCCCAACTTCTCCGCATCCTGCCATGCTTACTCACTACCAAAGCACACACTTCTCACACATTCGAAAAACAGATGGCAAGCTGTTTGAAAATGACCAGTCCGAGAGCAAAGTTTACCCCCTCTTTTTTTTAACTTCACTTGGGGCAACACTTCAGCGCATCTTCTTGAAGTGGTCCCCCAGTTCAAGGCTCTGTCTACTGGTACGGAGCAGCACCTGTTGGAGACCAGGTCCAGCGTCCCTTACTTGATTAACCTGACTTACGGTATAACATTTTGGTCCAAACGAACCTGCTGTACTGCTGCTGGTTGAATCAAACTGTCCATCGGTCGACAGGAGCCGGAGCTGCCTTTTTCTCCCGAATATAACGTACGGTCATTATAGCTGTATGATCCTGTATCTAGACTAAAAGATGCCTCAAATACAGCTATAAGGACTGTACATTGTATTCGGGGGAAGAAGGTGGGTAAAAAGCTATTGCCCTACAGCACTGAAAAAATGCAAAACGACATCCAACAAACAAGTGCTATATATATCGTCAAACCCAGCTGTCCCCGGCGAGACAGTTTGTCACAGCCCCTCGTTTGTTGTCTTCTCCTCCCTTTCTGTCTAC